AGTTTCTCTCTGACAGTACGAACCATGGACAGATGGTTGGCTGGGTTGTTAAATCATCGCGGTTGGTACGACTGCTGCGATCGTCCTTTGCCCGCGTTTTTCAATTCATCGCGACGTTACCTTGTTAAATCATTCTCAATCATTCTCTGCTTTCGAGATCGGACAAAGCAGACGTGTTCGCTTGTACTGGTGCTAACTAGGAAATAAATTAATCAGTATCCTCTGTGTAATCCCTTTATTTTCCACTGACTCTTGGTACACATTGCGATGCCAGAACACTGCAACTCGTAGAGTGTTGTCGACGGCCATTCACAGTCTTTAACTCCACGGGTTGGAATTTATAATCGTTTCTCAGTTTTCATTGTTGTCAATTCTCAGTTATCAACTGCTTGTTGCATATCTATGTTTTTCGTGGTACATGATTAATGAAAATCAAGAATATATTTTTAAACGTTTTATTTCATTATTGATTAACAAATAAGTAAGCCTACTACCATGACCGAAGACGCTTTAACCTAAATAAACATAATATTATATAAATTATATTTATTATGCCAGTGTATAGACTTTCGGATTGACTCGGGAATGATCGTGGACTTTCGACCGTGCACCGCCCGTCCCATTTCCCATTCATGGCTACACTCATACACTGATACACTCAGCGGTGCCATAACTTTTCCCTCGAGGCTCGTTTCCCCTGTTTTTCGCCCGTATTTCGATCCCCACTACTATTCCCCTCATGCGTGCTCATGCGCGTTCGCGAAGCTCTCCGCAGCGCTATGGTCCCCACCATGTTCGCGTCGTCCCCACTTTCCGGCCGAGGGAAAAGTTATGGCACCGCTGGATACACTCACACTCGCCTCGCCACTCAGGCCAGTCGCCACTGTCGCCAGTCCAGTCTCGCGCCGTACCTCGCAGTGTCAGCATCGCTTTTTAATAAAAATAATTTGAATTCCTGATCGGTCTGATGATCAATCGCACACATCGTATGCAAGATGCCCTGGTTATTGTTAAATTAGTGAAATGAGTTCTAGTGGATTTACGATGTGCGCCCACGTAGCCGGAAGTTCTTGAAGCTCCCGAAGACATCAGAAGAATGTTACCACAAACGTCTGACATCATACCTACTACCTTGAGTCAAGTAAGTCCCTCAATTGCGTTCGACGACTTTTCGTTTCTTGGAATTTCATTTATTATTCGATTTCATTTAAGATTTCTCGACTGTTAATACTAGAACTACCAAACCAGTCGAGATGACTGGTTTTTAATGGAGAAATGCATGTGTAAAAAAAGTCGGTAGATCTAGTGTTAAACGAGCAAACGATTCGACACCGATAGAACGAAGAGTTTGGTAGTAGAAGTCGAGAAGGTTTTGGTTTTGGTTTTATTGAAATTTACTTGCTACTGCTGGACGATACCAGAACTCGACATCGAATTATATCATAGATTAGATCGCGCTATGATGGAGATAGATAATTTATTGCTTAATTGGTTTAGTAACTTTTTCGGTTGTTTTCCGGATGCGTTATTGTATGTATGCACGATCACGTTTTAACAGGTTTCAGACTCGAGGTTGCGGTCGGTTTTAGTACCGTGTGAGGTTAAGCAAAATGAGTCGCTGATTTAATATTGAAGAAGCTTCACAGATCTTCTATTTGTTAATTTCTCTTCTATTTCGAAGTTGTCTACAGTTTTCGTTCGGCTAAGATGAAACCGGAAGCGATGAGTCAGTCCCGATTCCCTCGAATCCTCTTAATGACGTATTGTATGTATGTATGTATGTATGTACATTTACATACATACATACAAGCCGGCGAATTCCCTAATTGTAAGGCGAAACCTATATAGACGTCTTATCGATCGAACTTCCGATACGAGACAATTAAAATAATTAAAATATAGAATATATCGTTGAAATAGGTAATAAGTAATCGACGGATGTGGATGTGATTGAAACTCAATTAAGTAGGCTTCAGTGTGACGTTATGTCTGCATTTTTTAGTGATCAAGCGAACGTCACTTTTAGTCCACACGTTTAGTTTATTCACATCTTAGTCGCTTTGTAGACAAAGAATCCTTTTCTAACACTTTACTGAGTTTTCAAAGCTACGCTCGTTATTCTTTGTGGGCACCGATTGTACACATGTTCAAACGTTTGGCTTACGAACCTTCTCGGAATACGCCTCGCCTCTGGAATTCCAGGCTATTATTTCGCGAGTTTCTGTCGGTTTGACAAGGGGGAGGGTAACTCATTTATTGTATAAATTGTGCATGGAGTTATTTGGAAAAATTCTCACATCTACTACTAATGTAGCAGGAGATTTATATATTTTTTCAAAATTATGATAAGTTAGAGTCGGAGGAAATATCATGAATATATCGAAAATCGTATTCCAAGGGTTATTTATTCCTATCATTCCTGCCGCTGTTCCAACGGATGAGATTTCCATAGCTCCTGTCTTTTTGTTCAGAATTTGTTATTGCTGAAAAATATTTCATTGTGATTATTATTTGCCTATCGCAAAACGTTCATCGTTTTCGTGGTATCGATTGCAGTTCGAACGAATCCTATGGCTTCAGTTGTTATCTAATCTTATCAGGGAGGTTATCTAATTCTTATCGAACCGATCCCTTTTCGATTTTTTCTTTTCTTTTTGGTTCGCAAGTTTGTCGAATTGATCGAGTAATCGTAGCTGATAGAGAGATTAAGTTTAAGAATTTTTGTTCTAAAGATAAAGGCTGGCGCTTTGATGAGTTGTTGAGGGATAAGAAAGAGTCTGACGATGCTTGAGATGTTGTGAGGCAGAGCTTTAAGAGGTTTTTACCCTCCTTTCTTATTCCTAACCCTTTCACTACTACGAATGACTATAGTCACCCGCCACAAAGGGCTCGTTACACACGACGGCTGATTATATCAAAACTTACGTATTTGAACTGGGCTTGCAATTCCGGCTTTACGATTTTTGATTTCGAACGCTGAAAACCATGCGTGCGCGTAATGTGTACATTTTTGGTGGAGCGCTCCGTTCCACGGCAGACACTTCGCGGCCGCCGCCGCCGCCGCAGGGAAAGGGTTAATTCGCGCTTCAGACGTGAAGCTTCTTTTAAAGTGTTCTGGACAGTCTAATGACTAACTTGAACTCTTCTTCATTTTGTTTTTTATGATTGTGATGAAACGAAGATTATAGGTGAGGAGAACATGTGAGAATTTTTTTAGAGTTTTCTATCCATTGTTTATGTTAAATACAAATTCATTAAGTTTCTAAACTCTGGAATATCGCTGTCTTTATATTCGTATTTTTTTTTCTTCTTGATTTCAATGTATCAAGAATTCTGAAAAAATTCAGAAACGTATTAATACATTTGTACTACACGTGTGAATTTTTCCAAATTTCTAGATTGAAAATTAGAATCATAAAAAAATAAGTAACATATTCCGTAAGATTATTTTTCGATCATAACCAATTAAAATATAATTGAAATATGATTAATTAATTTCTGCTATTCTTACGAATGAAATTTAATGAAAAAATTCACATATCTCCTACTATCCTCATAGTATACATGTGAATTTTCCCAAATCATTCCATCCACAAGTTATACAAAGTTTATGAATTTCGCTTAGACTCGGAGGGATATGCTTCGAATTACGATTTTCATTATATTTGCGATTTTTTTATTCCGGATCTGACTTATCAAAAATTTTTAAAAAGGTCATGAATCTTTTACTAAATTAATAGTAGATGTGAGAATTTTTCCACAAATCGATTCATCGATTATTTGTATTTAACAAAAATTCCTAACCTTCGAAGATACGGAAATAACGAACGTTCGTCAATCTGTTCTCTAGAGCCGTTCTGACATCCATTGATCCCTGTAATAAGAAGCTAGAACGGTTGCTTAGCCCCCGTTTCATGTTCCCACGAGCACTCGACTGTTAAGGAGTAGAGAGAAAAAAAAAGAACAGAGAAGAGTCGGCCGCAGCGGGACAAGTGCGTGAATGAAAACGAAACCCTCGCGTGTTTACACGCGATTATATGCGCGGTGCTTGAAAAAAGAATCCCGAGTGGAATGCTTCTGCTGGCTCACTGGCTTCGCCCTATAAACAGAATCTAATTCTCTGAAGCTTCGGCAACGTTTTACGAAATTACAAACATGATTTTTAAAGAAGTAGCCGAACTATTTTGTGATACGTTGTCCAACGAGTATTAATGCGAATGTCTTCAATTATGTCGAAGCTGTGAGTTTCTACTTTATTTTATGTCATTCGGAAGTTTTACGCAAATCGATTATGAAAGGCAGAAAATTGATCAGGAATGAGAACTCGACTAATTTCATCGACCTGAAAAATTGCTCGACTTTGATTGTTAATAACTCCGTTAATAATGAACAGATTTCAATGATGTTGTTCTCAAATTAAAGCAGGAGAAGTCTAATTTTAAGCTGGACGATGACATCAATCGCGTGTATTCGTTCCAATCGCTTTAATTGAGCTCAATTGGAACAGAAGAATGAAGCGCGTTTAGCGGAACAATTTTTCATTTTTACGTTGCAGAAATGTGTAAAGGCGAGGGCACTGTACGACAACATAGCGGAGGCCCCGGACGAGCTTGCATTTCGAAAAGGAGACGTCCTTACCGTCTTGGAACAGAACACGGCAGGCCTCGAGGGCTGGTGGCTCTGTGCCCTTCGAGGTAGACAGGTAACAAGCAGAGATATCGTTATGAAACTTATGTGACAGTTGAATGGGACCTTCCTGAAGGTTTTTTCCAAGTTTCATTCGATACCTTGGATTAAAACCGAAGTTATTGTAAATTGAAGTGAAAAACTGAATTTTAAATAGAAATCATTTTTATGTTAAGAGTATTTTCGTTAATAGCTTTACGAAATTTGAGAGACACTTAAATAGGACATTAATGAACATGCCTTATAAGTGTCATTCAATTTCCTTGATTAGAACGAAAGTTATTGGAATTTGAAGTTGGAAATCGTTATTAATAACGAAGTAACGTGTATACTACTTGGTTTTTCAACTATGATTTCTATGCCGACGGAGATACCGTTATGAAACTTGGAAGACACTTAGATAGCACCCTTCCGAAGGTCTTTTATTAATTTTATCCAATTCCTTTCATTTCAACAAAAGTTATATTAATTCTAATTAACAACTTTGTATATTATAAATTGTTTTTCTTGTTTGATTTCAGGGTATTTGTCCAGGGAATCGATTGAGACTCCTAGTAGGCCAGTATGAGACTGGTAGCGGTTGTCTAGTAGGCAGCAGGTCGGATTTGACCACGGACGACGGCCTCCAGAGGCACGGGAAGCGACGGAGTTGGCACGTTCAGCCGAACAAAGTCAGTCCTCATTGCTCTAATTTTTATCTCAGATTCTAACGTGTCAAAAATTCTGAAAAAGTTCATAAATCTCCTACTATATTAGTAGTACATCTCTGAATTTTTTAAATCATTTTCAATTAACGAAATTTGAGAAATAAAATAAAATGCGAGTCTTTGAGATTGTATCAATATACAGATTCACGGTGAAAAAATTCCAAAAGTTTCTAGTGGTGTTTGTCGAAATGAATGGCAAGGGTAATAGGAGCTTTAGAGCCAGAGAGAGAGAGAGAGAGAGAGAGAGAGAGAGAGAGAGAGAGGCTGAAGCTGGATAAACGGGGGTGTTCTGGGTCGATACAGGCGTCGCGGCGCCATAGCATGAGCTAGAAAAGGCGCCTGATGGCTTGGAAAATAAACAAAATTTACGAAAGAAACTGAAATAAATTTGTTATTTATTTCTTTACGGGCAGAAGCCTTTCAGTACCAATAATCAATACAATCCAGTAAATAATACGTAAGAGTTAAACATGAATTCGGCTACTGTGCATTGACAGAGAAATAAATAATAATACATAGAATAATGTAAGAAGAAAAAAAGAATAATGTCAGTTATACGTACTAATTCAAAAAGTAGCAAAAAGAATGATCACAGTGAATTGTGAGAGGCGTGTTCAGGAAACGTGAGATAAATTGAACAAATTAGGAAAATTGAAGATATGTTGGCATATAAATGAAATTACAGTAAGAAAATTCAAAATAATGGATTTTTGTTTATGTGTAGTACATATATTAATGAATGACAAGTAATAAAAGATGTATGTATGACAGAAAGGGGGGGGGGAAGGGTTGGAAGCAAGAAGGGTGCGGATAGTTTCCATGGAAACGGAAGGAGTCTGGCTCGGTCCTGCGACCATCAGGAAGCTTGGCTCTTCAATTTTTAAGATTGAATTTTTGTTCAAAGTAAATTGGTTATAACTTCTTTAATAGTGGACCGATTTAGTTCGTTGACGGCTTAAATTAAAGCTTGAATGTCTCTAGTTTACTTCGGATTATCTAGTAATTTCAGCTAGATCGACTTCGAAGGGATGGAAATTCAGTTTGAATGAAAACTTCGTCGATTCTAATGATGAAAATTATTGTCAAACTTTCATTGGTTATAACTTTGTTAATAGTGGACGGATTTGGTTCGTTGATGGCTTAAATCAGAGCTTGCAGTCTCTACTTTAACCGATTTCCTTTGACAAATTTTGCTAAATTAATTCTCAATGGGTGAAAACAGGCCATGAATAAAAGCTTGTCGAAATTTTTTTATAAAACTCTAGCCAGAAATATTTACAGACTTCAATCGCACATTCGTTAATAACAGACCGATTTACTTGGTTCTCTACCTTATCTCAGTCCGTATCGCAATTTCACCTGGATCCAGTATTAACGAGTGAAAATCGATTTTGAATCCAACCATGCCTAATAAGAAAAATTGTATCCTTATTAATTCGCCATGTAATTTTGTATAATATCGTTCCTTCATTTTCACGTTAAAGGTGGTGACTCCTCAGAAATGCGGAGACGTATATCTGTACGATCTGCCAGCGAATAGGGCGAGCCCAGCATCATTTAACTCGGCCAACGACCATTTGCACGGTAAGAAAGCAAAACCTGAAACAAATCTAGTAGATATCTTAATGAAGCGTTAGAGACTCTTAGATAGGACCTTATCGAAGCTCTTTTATCAATTTCACTCAATTCTCTTGGTTAGGACCAAAGTTATTACAATTTTAATTCAGAAGCTGCAATTCAAAACTGAATAACTGCTTTACTACTTGGTTTCTTAATTATTATTAACGAACCGCTGAAAATACCATAATGAAATGAGTAATAATAAGTGAATAACTTTAAAGACACTTAGATAGGATCTTTCTTAAGGTCTTTTGTGAATTCCTTTTATTAGTACCAACGTTAGATAAATTCTAATTAACAACGTGCATCTAAAAATCACAATATCACATCAACCTTATAAATCTCTAATCAAATTGTGTCTACCCCACCAGCTGGTCGTTGTCCAACTGCAGGAACCGTCGTCAGAGGGTCTATGTTCGAGAATAACACCAATAACGATGTTACTAACGAATGTTACGACGTTCCTCCTCGAGCAGTTCCGGTGATCCCGTCGCCTGCAAGCAGCCCGAGTCCCGCGCCTTCTTGTTATGATATTCCCAGGCCTCCGGCTTCCTGCACACCGAATTCCGTTTATTCCACTGGATCCCAGCCTTATGATTGCTATGATGTGCCCAGGCCATTACAGCCCCTTACGCCCAGTAGCTCTGCCTCCAGCTTGACCAACGATGGCTCCCTCAGCGGTTCCAACAGGTAAATCATTTTTTCTTATGACTTCTCATAGGCGAGTTTTTCTGGAAAAAAGTTGGAGATATTCTACTAGATGGGAATATGTGTCAGAAATTTTTCAATTCGATTATTCATTTAAATGAAAATTCATAAAGTCTCCGCAGATTTCAAGGCTCATCTCTTATACGATTTTCGATATTTTCTTTCTCCGAATCTAACATGTGAAAAATTCTGAAATAGATTCAGTTATAGTACTACGTGAAAAATGCATGTGAGAATTTTTTAGATTTTTATACTGGAAATTAAAATAATAAAAAAATGGTAAAGAACGGATACCAGCTTTAATAGTGACTCTCAGGCGAATTTAATGAACGCTTTTATTTTGCACGATGTAGTGAATTAAAAATTCTGAAAAAAATCAGAGATATTCTACTATATTAGAGGTACGTGTGAAGATTTTTTTCAGATTTTTCAATTTGATACTTATAGTATAAAAAAATGGAGGAAATTGTAAATATGATTTGGAGTTTAATGAGTTAGATGTGTTGGGAGTGGAAGTGCGTTGAACTGCATTAGGCTGTTGATCTTTGAGTCTGGGCGAATTTATTTTCGGAACTGTCCGTGTAGGATTGAAATAACTGGGAACCGTTGAGGAAACGGTACTCTTTCAGGATTTGCAAATGAGATTTAGTTATCTCTTATCATAGTTTTAATTATTTCTCTTGAACTGTTGGATATAGGAGAAAGTTCCACACGACCTTTTTTGTAGCTGGCAACTAGATCTACATCTTTCATCTGAAACATTTTTTTATAGAGTCAATAATTAACGAGTCATTAACTATAAACTGCTACACATTATTAACATTTTATTATTAAGAAACTCGTCTCATACTTCCGATGATTACTCCTAAACTATTAGAGTTATAAGAAAATTGTATAGAACTTTATTTGTCGGTGGCAGTTAGAGCTACAACTTTTGTTTAAAATAGTTTTCGCTAGGATCGATAATTAACTTATTATTAAAAAAAAAAACGTAACAGATCCAGCCTGGCGCCAGACTACGACATTCCCCGTCGGGTCCCACCGTCCAGGCACAGTACGCCGGTGCCAAAAACACCTACGCCGCCTCCAGTGGCTTCCTTGCAACAGACGCAGCAGATATATGACGTCCCGGTAAGCAAAGAACTGCCGCTGGAACTGGACTCCGCGTTGGAGGGCTTGCAGAGGCTGCAGGGCGAGGCGTCGACAGCGATAGCCAAGCTTCTCAGCTTCTTCAGCCCGAAATGGAGGAGCTCTCAACGATTGGATGGAACCCTGATGGACTTGAGGCTCGCCGCGCTCAGACTCAGAACCTCCCTCCACGATTTAACGGAATTCGCCGAAGGTAATTCGATTTTTTTATATCAAGGGATAGAGATAGGTTTATGAAACTTGAGGGATACTTATATAGAGCTTTCCTAAAGATCTTTATCATGTTTCATCTGATTTCCTTCATTACAACGAAAGTTATTATAATTTGAAGTCAGAAATCGTTATTACAATTTTCGATCTCTTCGATAATTTTTTCCCCCATTTCTAATGTATCAAAAATACATAAATCTGCTACTATTTTAGTAATACATCTGAGGATTTTTCCAAATCAATTCATCAGTTATTTATAATAAAAAAGATCCATAGGGACCAAAGTTGCTAAGAAGTGAATGAAAACTGTCCGCTCTTAATTGATTAATAATTCATTCATTTACTCATTTACTTATTATGTCAATTACAAAAACGTGTAGGAACATTAGGGAACGCGGGCAAGGCGCCGGATAAGGGCCTGGTGACGAAGTTGCGTCCTTTAGTGAAGGCTTTGAAGGACTCCGACAAATTAGTGCAGGAAGCAGCATCGGAGTTAGACGCGATGGAATGGGACGCCGCGAAGTTGGCCCGCGAGGACGATGACGCACCAACTCCTACTAATAATAATGGGCCGCCGATTTCAGCTTCGGTTACCTCGCTCTCACCACCTGATCCTCTCGATCAGTTGATAGCTTGTGCTCGGGCGCTGACCGAAGACGTCCGCCAGGTCGCAAGCTTCATACAGGTAAATTGCTCAACTTCAATCATTCATAACTTCTTTAATAATTTTCCGATTTACTTCTTTCACGTTTCAAATCAAACCTTGAACTTTCTAGTTTTAGCCATCCTCATAACAACTCCATCGAACTTTCATTACAGGGAAATTCAACGCTTCTTTTCAAGCGATCGTCAATAATCTCAACGGGCAGCAGTGGGAACAACAGCGGCGGCGGGGAGGATTACGATTACGTGAATCTAGACTCGAGGGAAGTCGTGGCGAAGCAACGGGAAGAAGTAAGAGCTGCATTGCCGCAAGAACTCCGAGGGAATTACGATTTGCTCGTCAATGAGTCGGACAACGCGATGATCCAAGTTACGACCCCCACGCCGATGGACCCGAACGACAAACAATTATTAGCGTTCTATGCTGCTCAGGTGATCACCCATGGCAGTTATTTGACGCACGCAATCGACGCCTTTATGCAGACTGTTGAGCACAATCAACCGCCAAAGGTAGTTGCGAGTAATATAGAAGTTTAGTGGAAGGGAACAAGATATACTATACTAGTACTGTATGTGAGAATTTTTTCAAATCGAATCATCGATTTATATTATAAAAATTCTAACATAAGGATAATCACATCGTATACCATACCTGTATTCTCTCACTTAATTAGGTGTTCCTTGCGCACGGAAAGTTCGTGGTACTCAGTGCCCATCGTTTGGTACACATAGGGGACACGGTGCACCGGAACGTGATCAGGAACGACGTTCGGACGCGAATCCTCGAGTGTGCGAATGCGTTAAACGAAGCCCTGGCGCAGACGGTAACGAAAACGAAGCGTGCAGCCCAGTTCTTCCCCAGCGTATCAGCGGTACAGGAGATGGTCGACAGCGTGGTGGACGTCTCGCACTTCGCGAAGGACCTAAAAGTCGCCATGATTCACGCGGCCCAGCAGCCTTAAACCGAAATTAAAAAAAAGAACGCCCGTCGGAATCTCATTGGAGTCCAATCTGGGACGTTCCAATGACTTCCTTATCTGATTCAATCTACGAGTCCGACGGGATTTGATCGTTGCCGGACTGTATTCACAACTTTTTTACCGATCGAACCGTTCAGTATAGTTCCTTAAACTTATATGAATAATACGAGTAATCGTAGACGATTTCAGAATGCATTTTTCTAGATTAAAACGACACACGCGCTCGCGCGTTTGGCAACATTTTTAAGGTCGACTGTCTTTTTTAGCTAGGCACGACTTTTTCGTGCCAGGCTTTTTACTACAGTGCTGTCCGGATATATAGCCACGCTCGGACTAGAAATTTACTGTAAATTACTTTGTATCATCTTCATAGTAAGATCCAAATATTGGGTGCATAATGATCAGTTCCAAAGTTAGATCTATCCTAAGTCCCAAAGTTGAGTCTTATGGTAAGGCCGAAAAATAAGTCCCATCATAAGGCTCAAAACATTGCCATATATCCGGACATTATTGTAATTCGATAAAAGCAGATGATACAGAGTGATTTACACTAGTCTCCGAATATATGACCGCACCCGGCTCCTAAATCCGAGCGTAGCTATATATCCGGACACTAATATACACGGCTCTTCCATTTGATAGAGAACGCACAAACGGTCTTTACGCACGTGAGCCTCCCTTTACAGGAGTCCCCGCGAGCGTCAAACTTTCTACCAACTTTAAGAGGATTAACAAGAGAAGGCGGAATCGATATAGACGTCCTAAATTTAAGAAGCATTCACTCGGGTACGAGACTGGACTAGAGTTTGTATTAGTTAAATGTAATGGTGCAAGGCAGCTTTCTTCGTTTCTTGTTCAAGTGTTACGACTTGTGACCGTGTTTCCGCATTTGTAATTTGACGTTGCAACAAATCCTGTATGAAACGCGTCCACTCGCTTACGTTCCGTATCGTACGCGCCGGTTAGGATCGGCGGTAGGTGCTTGTACAGTTTGAATTATGTTCGTTCTGCCCCACACGCACAGACGACGGAAGCTCGACTGCTGGTGTATATAATTATTCGATATATTTATATAGATATATTCCTCGTGTGGATACGATCGTACCAAGTACAGGCGTTACAGGTAATCGTGCAATGTGTAATTATTTAGTTAGGTATATGGAACGTATACTCAAAGTGGTATATATATATATATATATA